CTATTGTGGCCAATAGTGTAATGTTAACATAGTGTAATGTGGTCATAGTGTATTGTGGCCATAGTGTAATGTTAACACAATGTATTTTGGCCATAGTGTAATGTGATCATAGTGTAATGTGGTCATAGTGTATTGTGGCCATAGTGTAATGTGGTCATAGTGTATTGTGGCCATAGTGTAATATTAACATAGTGTAATGTGATCATAGTGTAATGTGGTCATAGTGTATTGTGGCCATAGTGTAATGTAATCATAGTCTATTGCGGCCATAGTGTAATGTGGTCATAGTGTAATGTGATCATAGTGTAATGTTAACATAGTGTAATGTGGTCATAGTGTAGTGTGGACATAGTGTAATGTTAACACAGTGTATTTTGGTCATAGTGTAATGTGGTCATAGTCTATTGTGGCCATAGTGTAGTGTAATCATAGTGTATTGTGGCCATAGTGTAATGTGACAATAGTGTAATATTAACATAGTGTATTGTGGCCATACTGTAATGTGATCATAGTGTAATGTGGTCATAGTCTATTGTGGCCATAGTGTAATGTTAACATAATGTATTGTGGCCATAGTGTAATGTTAACATAGTGTATTTTGGCCATAGTGTAATGTGATCATAGTGTAATGTGGCCATAGTCTATTGTGGCCATAGTGTAATGTTAACATAGTGTAATGTGGTCATAGTGTATTGTGGCCATAGTGTAATGTTAACACAATGTATTTTGGCCATAGTGTAATGTGATCATAGTGTAATGTGGTCATAGTGTATTGTGGCCATAGTGTAATGTGGTCATAGTGTATTGTGGCCATAGTGTAATATTAACATAGTGTAATGTGATCATAGTGTAATGTGGTCATAGTGTATTGTGGCCATAGTGTAATGTAATCATAGTCTATTGCGGCCATAGTGTAATGTGGTCATAGTGTAATGTGATCATAGTGTAATGTTAACATAGTGTAATGTGGTCATAGTCTATTGTGGCCATAGTGTAATGTAATCATAGTGTATTGTGGCCATAGTGTAATGTGGTCATAGTGTAATGTGGTCATAGTCTATTGTGGCCATAGTGTAATGTTAACATAGTGTATTGTGGCCATAGTGTAATGTGATCATAGTGTAATGTGGCCATAGTGTAATGTGACAATAGTGTAATATTAACATAGTGTATTGTGGCCATACTGTACTGTGATCATAGTGTAATGTGGTCATAGTCTATTGTGGCCATAGTGTAATGTTAACATAATGTATTGTGACCATAGTGTAATGTTAACATAGTCTATTGTGGCCATAGTGTAATGTTAACATAGTGTAATGTGGTCATAGTGTATTGTGGCCATAGTGTAATGATAACACAGTGTATTTTGGTCATAGTGTAATGTGATCATAGTGTAATGTGGTCATAGTCTATTGTGGCCATAGTGTAATGTAATCATAGTGTATTGTGGCCATAGTGTAATATTAACATAGTGTAATGTGATCATAGTGTAATGTTAACATAGTGTAATGTAGCCATAGTGTAGTGTGGACATAGTGTAATGTTAACACAGTGTATTTTGGTCATAGTGTAATGTGGTCATAGTCTATTGTGGCCATAGTGTAATGTAATCATAGTGTATTGTGGCCATAGTGTAATGTGGTCATAGTGTAATGTGGTCATAGTGTAATGTAATCATAGTGTATTGTGGCCATAGTGTAATGTGGTCATAGTGTAATGTGGTCATAGTGTAATGTAATCATAGTCTATTGTGGCCGTAGTGTAATGTGGTCATAGTGTAATGTGGCCATAGTGTAATGTAATCATAGTGTATTGTGGCCATAGTGTAATGTGGTCATAGTGTAATGTGGTCATAGTGTAATGTAATCATAGTGTATTGTGGCCATAGTGTAATGTGGTCATAGTGTAATGTGGTCATAGTGTAATGTGGTCATAGTGTAATGTAATCATAGTCTATTGTGGCCGTAGTGTAATGTTAACATAGTGTAGCGAAGAAACTCCCATCCTTTTTACCCACAATCTATGTAATAGATACTCACTGTTCGTGAAAAATTAAGATCAATTCCTCTTTCAACCAACAATAATGATATATCTATATTCCGCCTATCAATGGCCATCATTAATAAATTCTTCTTTGCAAGGTACCCACCCTAAAAACAACAAAACATTTGTCAATTAATACAAAATACTTCATTGCAAGGTATCCACCATAAAAAATGTGAAATTCAATTCCTGGTTCCTGAATTGATAGCGTTTGCATGTTCATCGTTTGTGCTCTCGCACATATTGCATGACCAGATTTCCATGGAAGGTCGGACAAATTTTGAATATTCCAAATGCACAGAGTTGCAGTTCACCGAACATCAACGATTCCAGCTCCCAACTTCAAAATTCCCCTTAAATAAAACTGCCATCATCTTTCAACTAACTTGTACCAGCCTCTGAAAATTTGCACACTATTCTGCCTAAGCAAAAATAATGACCATGCAAATTCTTATTGGCTGTAGCGTAATATTTTCAAATTTTTTTGCGGGTATTTGTGGAGTTGAAAAACTATGTCATGGTCATATTTACTCTGTGAAACACACATGTATCATTTCTATTTCAGTCCATCTTCTCTGAAAAATAATCTTTTTCAACTGGTAGTCCACGTTTCTCAGCTGTCTTAAACAGCTGCCCTTGTTTGCCCAACCACACTCACTCCTCTATCATTGAAAACTATTTCAAATATGCCGCTGATTTCTTCCGGGTTACAAGTCTACTGGTGCTCTTTTGACATTTTATATTTTTGTCCTATCCTCGCCCGTTGCGAGGTAGGTTACACATGCACTAATAGAATTACATCGTGTCTGATGGTAATAGGTGATTTTTCGTTCAACTGCGAGATCTCGCGAGATGCATGAAAGACGCGTGTCGAACGTCTGCCACAAAAAATGAACGATTTGATTTTCAACTTGAATTTCTTTATTTCGTAGCTCACATCGACAGGCCGATCTTCGACAGAGGAATATTGATTCCGAATACCCTCACTTAATCGAAATTGTCTATCATCAAATGTATACAGCACATTATTAATCATGGAAATGCCCTCAAAATATTTTCACGTTTGTCAAATCCCATGCAATGTTTGACGCCACTACCACGCTATGACCTTTGTTTGTCCTGTTCTTACATTCGATTTCACGCATAACGCGTGATTCTCGCAGTGTACGGAAAATGGTCTATTTAGGAATTGTAAAAGTAGATGAAGAGATGTACCAACATATCTGACTCATACAATGTATTGGTGACATGATAAATGATTACAAGTTCTTACCTCGCATACATTAATATCAGCACCATCATTAAGAAAACTACGTACACTGTTTATATCCTCACGTTTTACTGCATCAATAACAGCCTATTAGAAATACCATCATAAAAATTATTTATGATATGAAGCAATTTAAATCAATTTTGTTATAAAATAGGAAAAAAACAATGAATGAAACAACAATTGAAAAATTGATTTTCTATAAAAAAAATCCTAAATGTTGCTAGTTTTAAAGCGCTGATTTTACACTGTGAAGTTATGAATTGTGATACAACTTCATTGAGAAAATTGAAAAAATAAACTATGTCGATGATTCATATATTTTACTATAAAATATATAGATAGATCAATTTGAAATGATGCCTATAACACTGAAACAAGTTATTTTTTCCTAATTCCAGTATGGGCAAATACACTTTGCAATTTGGGTTTGCATGTTCTACAGTCATCTCTCATGTTTGAGATAGTACCGGTATATACCACAGAAACTATTAACGGAATATACATTCTTTCATTAATTATGTTGAATATATTTTATAAATTATTACTTTTTGATATCACCTAAATGTAATATTGGTTCTAAGTTTAGTTTAATTCATTCGGTATACAGAAACATAAAATTACTAACACCTCACCTACTCAAATAGACACCAATTCACAAATACGATAACATTTCAAGGAATATATACTATACATGAACAATTTAAACATTTGTTTGTACAAATATACTGTATATAAAAATCTTACGACACATGACTACGGTACCTATCCAAATTAGCCAGGTCAGAAACTATCTACTGTAAAAAGATTAATTATTCAATAGGTTTTAATTTTGCTTATTTCACTGACTGGAAAATGCCCTAAATTAAAACCCAGTGAATATGTAAAATTTAGCATAGAACACATTATCTAAATGATAAAACCGTGAATTTAAAACCCACTGAATATGGGTGAAATGGTAAATCAGCGAAATTTAAACCGAGTGAAAATTAGTCATTTTACAGTATCTAAATTAGCCAGGTCAGAAACTATGTATACCTATCCAAATTAGCCAGTTCAGAAACTACCTATTTAAATTAGCCAGATCAGAAAC